GTTTGTTACGCGCAAATACCATTTGGATAGGCATGAATCCACATGTCCCTCCAGCTATGGATTAATTAGTAAGGCTTGTATAATTATATCCCTCCAAAAATCTAAAAATATTTCCTGGCTTTAAATAACCTGCAAAGTGTTGATAAACTGTAGAAAATGAATCAATGTTCAAGTCTAGTGTTAACGGAACCGTTATCTGCCATACATATCCTTACTTTGTAACCCTGTACTTTGAATCTTGGGCCTTGTACAGGGTGAACAGTGTTGCAAAAAAAAAAAAAAAAGAAAGAAAAATTAAATTTACAGAATCTTCCTGAATTAAAAAAAAAAAAATACCCTTTAACTTTAAGAATAGTTATTGAAGTTATGAAGTAGTTGGTTGGGTGCGTTTTACCGGGTAGATTGTATTGTATTATTTATAAAAAATCAACGTAGGTAAAAAGTTAACGGTAAAAAAATCCTAGTCGCGTATTATACAGTGAAAGTGTAGCTAAAGAAGGGAGAGAAGAAGGGATTAACTAATTGGTTAATAAGTCGTTGGTGCTTTAGAAGTTAAAATTCTGTTTTGTGATCAGGACGTTGTTATTCATCATCTCAAAAAGATTTAAAATAAAAAAAAAAAAAAACAATTGAAAAATAAAATCAAATAATTTAAGTCCATGTGTGTGTTTTTTGTTATCTTTCTTTTATAACTGCTACTTTGTGGAACAGATTTCTACGTGAATACTACCTTGAACACTTACAATCTTTAAACCTCTTCGAGTCAAGGGTCAATCGTTATCTATCCTCATATTCATTTACGATCTCCTATTTCATTCATGTTTTACACCACATACATTAACCATTTTTACTTTATTCTTATACCTTGTGTGGCTCTCGAGCCTTGTAACGAGAGAACATTAGCATTAAAAACAGCCATATAATTTTAAAGGAAATTATAACAAACTGAAATGAAATGGGGTAAGTTGCTTTTTAAGCCCCGCGCTAAGTATCTACTTCTAATAAAAATTTCTGGAATCGTTGTATTTCGGTGTGTAAATTTGAAAATACAACGAAAAACAAGAAATTTTTATTAGATACTTAGAGCGGGTCTTAAAAAGCAAATTACCCATGAAATGTTCCAAATTAAAAATTATACTGCGCATCAAAATGTAAAAATTAGGAACAATTAATCTAGAATTCAATTTTAAAATATTTTTTCATTGGTTGGACACTGATAGTATTACTTAATTACTGGCTTTAAATTTAAAAGGTGGTTTAAGTTACTGCTAATAAAAAAAAATAAAAATAAAAACGAAGAGTTAAAGAAAGTTGTTAATCTCAAAACAACAAAAAAGGTCTCTAAAAACTTTAAAAAACAAAACAAAAAGGAAAACCTAATGACATTATTAAATATTAAATGTTGGTAGCAACTCATTCAAGCATAACAGATCTGAAAAACAAATAAATTATATGATGAGCTAAGAAGCTATAACCCTACCCAACATTTTACTTTCACATTGTTAACTAACAGCGTCCTTCAAGTTTAAACTTTTAACAGTTGTACTTGTTCATTTAATCACCTTGGACATTGTCCCTTGGCTTAAAAGATACAAGACACATTTTTGAAACAGAAGAAAGTTTTGGGTTCATTTTAGTTTCATGGGAATCTAATCGTTCGTAAAATAAACCACCGAGAAGAATATATGGAATTAAAATAATCAAAATAAACAATCCATAAACTTACAAAAATAGTAAATGATATACCTAACTGTTTATTCCCAACCTCTGCGGTTCGTACTTCATTTTTCACGTAATCTAAAAAATTACATGATGAAAATATATTATATTAAATTATGTTATTACATTTACAATAACAGATAAATCTGAATTATCTTTTTAAAACAAAAATGAAATAATGAATGTATTTATTTTGATAATATAATTTTATAAGCGATAACGTGAGCTCCGTATCATTGCGTCCTTCACCGTAAAACCCGACCTTGACTGTTTGCCAAAGCCTTGACACTTTTAGACGAAAAATTGTACACTTTTGGGGGTAAGACACTAGCACAGCGACTTTCGCTGCTGGTAAGTGCTTTTTGATCGCTGTTATTACCTTCATAAGAAATAGTTAGTCATATTTTGATTAGATGTCAGTTTGTCTTTACAGAAAAAAAAAACCAAACAAAATCAATGTTTAGTTATTTCGTCCTTACATGAAAAAAATACGGTGTTAATGTCGAAAATTCCCCTTTTTAATTTTAAGTCTTGTTTATAAATTGATGATTATAAAATATTATTTTAAAAAATGTGATTGTTAAAGAAAAAACAATTATGAAAGTAAACAAATTGGACTCTTGTAAAAAAAGAAAGAAAATGAAATAAATATTTTAGTTAAGAACTTAAGTACTTTTTATGAAAGTCATAAACTTGAACTTGAATGTTTGTTTTAAAATGCATTCAAAGCGGTAGATTAGATTTTGCAAATCGATTCTGTAGATAGAAAAAAAATAAGAAAGATCGAACGATCGTTCGTACTGTTTTGCTTAGATGATTTCATATGACATACTTCCCTTCCCATGTTTAATAACAATTACCTTCCTTACAAGTTTTTTCCTGTTCTATTCTCTCTTTCTCTCTCTCTAGAAAATAATGATGTATTTTATTTAACGTTTACTTTAAATTTTGGTAGAGATCTTATAAAAATACATTGAATCGAGAACACTTATTTTATTGCAGAAAAAAAAAACTACCTTTATGATGTAAATCTAGTAACAAATATCTTATCTATATGCATGTAATAAAAACATTTTGACCCCTGCCTAAAATAAATAATTAAAAATAAACAATGGTAATTTAAAAAAAAAGAAAAGAAGATTGGCATCATTTATTGTTTAAAAATTCATTATGGCTTAAAAATTTTAAATTTATTTGGAAATAAAATTAATCTTTATTTTAATAAAGTTTAAAAGATTAAAAAAAAATGTCGACAAGAAAAAAAAAATCAATTATGTATTGTAACCATTTCTCTTAAATTTAATGAAAATAAATTTGTACTTTATTTTTTTTGTGATTTGAATTTCTCTCTTCTTTCTAAAATATTTTTTCTATTTTTTAGCGTTTAAATAAATTGCGGCCGTTGAAATAATTGATTAACATTTGCAATGAATGAGTAAAAAATAAAAAAATAAATAAAAATAAATAATTAGTGTACTGTAGACTTATCTATATTTTTCTTCTTTTTTAATACCAAATTATTTTGACTCATTCATTTTAGATAATTTTTCAAATGAAAAAGAGATTAAAAAAAATTGAAATTTCAAATGTTCTTTAATGTTCATTCTCCAATTCAATTTTTTTAAATAAAAAAAAATCTATTTTTAATTGATTTCTAACAGAATCATTTATGTTTCTAATTTAGATATTTAAAAATATTTTTTAAAACATAATCATTTGTAATAAATAATATTTTAATACTAATTTTCCAATTGAAATATAAGATCTCTAATAATTTGATTCTAAAATGAGATGTTAATTTTCAAATTAAGATATTTAAAAAAAAATTCTATTCATTTGTTGATCTTAGATTAGAAGCAATAATAAAAAATCCTAGAGGTCATTTATTACATTTACTTTTAAAAAATGGTATCTATTTTTTAGCTTTTTGCCCGGTTTTGTGACTTTGTCTTTATGCGAATAGAATCACTTTTTTTTCAACTTGGGAGAAGGTTTTTTTTTGTTTTTTTTTGTTTTTTTTTTTTATATCGCAAATTTTCATTCTACGATCGTTAAGTAAGCTTAAGCATCAATATGAGCGACTTCGTTAAAATATTAAAGATCAACACTGCTATTTAGCGGTCGTAGAATGACGATCTGAAAGTTGCGATGAAAAAAAAAAGAAACTGAAATTATAAAAAAAAAAGTCAAAAATTGATAATGTTTGAACAATTTTTTTCAAGTTTTGTTCTCCCTACCGCAGGACGATCTAAAACTTTACAGATCATAATCCTCACTCATTGCTATTAACTTGTGTCCTTGTGCCAGACTAAGCTAAACTTAGTCATCATTCTTTGAATTGAACCGATGTTCATCCACCGGGCATTTAGGTTTCATTTCTTTGCTCTGTCACTTCAGCTAAACACGCAAAGTCGTTTTTTACGGCAAATAATAACATTTCACAATTGAAACAATCAGGATTATTTTTTCGTCTAAAAATGCCTTTAAAATTTAAACGAAGCCCGGAAACCGCCTAGTTTATTATTTTATTTTTTTATTTTTTAGTCAAAGAAAACTTTTTTTTGAAAAAAAAATAACATTGATCCCAGGTTTCCTTGTTTAAGTCATTTTTTTGTTGATCGATTTAAAATGGTTCATTGTTGATTTTTAGATTTGATCATAAACTAAAATGAGTTTCAAAATTATACTTTGATCATGAAATATCCTTCTTTTTGAGAAGGAAGTCAAGTTAATGAACATTTATTTCATTATTTTGAATGCCTGTAGTTTAAAAAAAAAATTTTTTTTGAGCGTTTTTTTGTCGATCCTTTAAAATGGATTTATTTTTCTTCTAATCTTGCTATATTAGAATTGTTGGAAAAGGAACGAAACAAAAATTGCACCATGACTCTTCTTGTGTGTTTTGAAATAGTGATTATTTTTCAATTTTTCATTTATTTATTTATTTTTTTTTAATGTGCTTTATTGTAAAATCGCGCAAAAATAACAGATGATTGTAGAGTCGCAAATTGAAGTATTTTCGAATTCAAAACAGTAATCATACACAAATCAAATTTAAGCTCATTCTGTAGGATTCTAATGATTGGTATCTCTTCCAGGTTTGTCAATTAAAGAAAGGAATGTTCTTCTTAGTACATTGTATCTTACAGTTTTTCGATTAGAGCATTGCAACAGTTACCCCAGTAATAAAATATTCTGAAGTGAGTTCTCTCCATAAAAAAAAAAAAAATCTTAATTTTTTTTTTTTTTGCCTTTCATCAGCATAGCTGATGCTAACCTCCAGGTGAGTGACTCATTTCACCTTCTCGGACTAACTAACGTTTTCCGCTGACATGAAGTGCAAAGAACAAATGTAGGAATGTTGGTTCATTGAATTTTTAGTTGTCGGGACCGGAGAAGAAGTCTCTTATATCGGGGTTTGGTCTATTTTATATACATTAACACAGGCTCTAATTTGGGACCAGAGAAAATCTCTCTTAATTCCGGGTTTCTCTTATATCCGGGTCTCTTATATCCGGGTTACACTGTATTATAAGTCTACCATTTGTGTTGCTGCCACATCTAGTCTGATGCTTCTACTATAGAGATTTTTTATAAAATTCAAAGAAAAATCTGCAATATTATTGATCCTGACCTGGCATCACAGTTTCAGTCTCTTTCCCACCGCTGTAAATGTAGTTTCGCCTGTGCCTTTTTTTTTTTTTATAAATACTCTCAAGTTGTTTTTTTGTTTTTTTGGTGTGTGTGGGGAAGTATTTTCTAACCCCTCTGATTTTTTTTCAGTTTATTATTTTTGCACTTTTTGACCCCGTAAGACCTATCGTTTATTGCATACTGTGACTCCACCTCCTAGTATTGGGCAGATAATAGTAGATTTCTTTGTCATGAAAGAAATATTTATTATTTGTTGAAATAAATGGTCATCAGAATTTTAATTCTACATCATTTCAAATAACAGAAAATAACTTGTTCAATCTGTGGATCACAGAGCCTTAATATTTCTCTGATTCCTGATTGGTCAATTATTAACTAATATTATGTTTTCTGTTACGTCTGAACTGTATTGACCTGAACGAAAATACAATTCCACCAAAAATCTGTCTATGCATTTCGAGCCTATCACATGACATACAACATTATAAATTATAAATACCAAGTGACATTTTCAACTCTTTCTCTGTTTCCTCTGTTTTTCTCGGAACCATAACAATGTAGTCAGTGAAGAGCCTGCGTCTGTTCCTTAATGGAAGACGTTATGACACACATACACACACACGCACGAACATTGAGCATCTCTTTAGTTTAACTCATCTTACACTGAATTTCAGCCTACAACACCTTCTTATCGAAGAACATGCTTTCCATTGAAACTTACTATTATTTCATGAACTGAAATCTTTTCTGTGAGTCCAGATAAAAAATGTATCTTCCTTAAAGTCTTAAAGTCAAATAAAAGTTGAAGGGAAATAACTCTTGTTATTAATTACAACTTTTACTACATAAAAATTACACACTTGATTGCTTTGTATGTCATATAGTAAATGAAGATTATTTGTTATTATAAAAACAGTTTTTGTGTTTCTTGTTTTGCTTTTCATTTGCTGGCACATTTGCAAAGTAAAAAAATGTATGGATTGAATTGAGGCCGTTCAATACGCCTACGGGTTTAACTTAATGTAACTTTTGATTGATTGATATGTTTTTATGGCTTATCAATCTTTTGTAGGTTATATAAAGCTAGAAAATATTTTTAGATTGTAAGAATTTAGGGGAGAAGAGGAGATAATAATGATTTTATTGATACAAGTCCTAATAATTAACTGATAGTTTGGGGTGGGGGAGAAGAAGTGGGTCCATACCTTTCTCAAAGGTATTTGCACATAAGTGAATATAATGAAATTGACTAGAATTTGAACTTGACAATCTGATTTCCAATTCCAAGCTCTTATGCAATATACCACCTGCCTATCTAAGCTTACAGCACGTGGTATTCCCAAGGGTTTGTAACTTTTGATTAAGATGTTTTTATTTTATTTTTGTACTTGATTACAATGTTGTCAACAATAAGGAGACAATCTAAAAAAAATGTATATTTTTTGAGAAAATAGTAACATAACAAAATATTAATTGATACCTTTGGAACGTGGCAGAAATCAAGACTATCCAAATTGATAAATATAGACATCTTGATACAAAGACATTTTCCCTTTTTTTGCTGTTAGATTGCTTGTTGAATAAGAAATTTCCCCTTTTCATTGATTGATTCATTTTCTATGGCTTATCAGTCCTTTGCAGGTTATTTAAATTCAGAATTTTTTTTTTTTTTTTTTTTTTTTTTAGATCATAAAATT